GGCATCCCTTTCTGCCAGCACCTGCTGCAGGAACAGGATTGTTATTGTGCAGCCCCATTACAAGTTTGCACCTCGTTAGTAAGACACTTCAGTGAGCTGCAGGACGTGAGTAAAGGCAGGAATTGGGCATCTATTCAGGAATTCTGCCTGCTTTTCACTGAGCGAGAAGAACTGAGGTCTTCGGTGGCAGAGGAGAAGCGGAAAGGTTCAAGTCAAGCACAATTACTCAGGTGCTCTGCTTCGTGGTGTCTCTGGCTGGAATATATTCACTGTCTCAGATGCACTCTGCTCGCTCTGTCTAGTAATAGTTTCAACATTGAAGAACTGAGACTTCATCAAAAATATGAAAGTAGTTTCTTTTTCCCTTCCATCCAGAAAACATATCACAACCATAAAATGCAAACCGAGGTTCGGTATCAGGTGTCGCATAGTGAGATTCCAACGTGTCTCAAAATGAGTGAACAGGTGCTCCGAAGACAAAGGGCCACACAAGTCATTCTCTTAATGTGTGTCGCAGGGGTACCTGGGAAATCTCTGAGTTCTGCTCAATTTTGCTGTGAACATAATTAATAATTCTATGGCAAGACTTTATTTACCCAAGTCTTGCTCTATAAAGCGGCTGCACAGGCAAATCTTTATAATCACATCACTTTCTGTGACATGAAACTTAAGCATGCTACAGACAGCATTTTAGCTACACCCTTTTTAGCAAAATCTGACTTACTTACACACTCAGATGGCCAGAAGGCCTTTGACAAGTGTGTCTTCTGGAAGAGTGGGGCATGTTCACATGCACAGCGGCCCCTGGAGCGCTTTTAGCTCTGATTGCTCACACTGGAGACTCCAGATCATCTCCAACCAAGTGTGACTTCTGATGCAAGCCTGCGTTTCCCGGTAACTTTTACAGTAAGCCACCAAGTGTGGGAAACAGAACAATGTCAAGGGGAAGAAGAGCTTTGTTCAGTCCTGTGAAACAATAAGCTAAAAAATGACCCAGACAAGACATCCAGCCAGGCCCGTGTGATCGGATCAGGGTGGATAAGTGTGAGAACACTTTTGTCCAGAATCTACAGAATGCACAGCACCAAGACGGGCTCAGATCTGAGCTAGGGACTGTGGGCAACTGTGCACCAATATAGGTTCATCCATCGTCACCAACCTACCCTCGGGCGGAGGCTGTTAAGCCTGCTCAGGGGACAGCGTGAGCATGTGTGCAGCTGGGGTACCTGGGAAATATCTGTGAGTTCTGCTCAATTTTGCTGTGAACATGAAAGTGCTTTAAAGACAAAACCTATTGGGAAAAGGAGGAAAATGAATGAAGAACCTCTAATAAAACCTTTCTAAGCATCCCTGCTTCTCTAACTGGCAGTTTTCAGATCCGATCTGTCCCACAGGGGGGTTCCTTTCTATGGTTCTCAGGATTTAAGTTTGAATTTGATGAGTTCAAGAGATTTTTCTTTTTTTAATAGGGAGATTTCCCACGAGTGTCTGGAGAGGGTTAATTTGATTTCAACCTGTTGCTATCCAGTGCCAAGCACACGTCAGACCCTGTCGTCAGTAAAATAGTCAATGACAGTGAGTCAAATAACTTACCTTCCTCCTGGGAAGTGGCTCGCTAGCGAGGTGGGCAGACGGTGCACACCCAGGTGAGATCCTGGCTCTTCCAGTCCCCACTCCCCAGC